AATATATGCTCATGGCCCATACATATGCAAGAATATATGCTCATGGCCCTACATACGCAAGAATATATCAGTCTGCACGAAAAACTTCCACCCTCACTGGCCCAGCGGGCCTGTAGAAATGTATAATTCACTGGCCCACACTAGGTTTTACAGGCCCGAATCGATGATTATCATATTATGAAAAAAGAAACAGAACGCTTTTGTGTATTCTTGGTGTAACTCTTAGATTTATTCTGAATCTTTCATAAAATTGAACAAAACATTATCAACTTCCCTTGTTGTCATCTCATTGTCACTTCCATCGTCCTCCTCATCATCACTGCTGTAATAATTATCAGGGTCATCCCATGGTCTTTTGGTGAGCATCTGAAATTAAATCATAATTTATATCATGAAGGATGATATTTTTAACAAAATTCAGAACTTTTTTTGTAAATTTATGTGGTGTATTATTTTATGTACTTTGTGTATAATATATATCCATATAGATTGTACTGTACCTGAACTGTCTCTGCTTTTGTCATGTTTTGTGTCTGGGCCTCAATCTGTGCTGTCTCTGTCGGTGTAGAAGTTGCGTGGAACCGGAACCAGAAACCAGAACCGGAAACCGGAAGTTAATTGTTTCGACCTCTAGCGGCGACAAACACGCATGGTGTTGACTAGTTACTTCTCCTACTTAAGATCGCGAATATGATGCCCTAGCCGTTATCGGTAAATATCAGTAAATTTTCATACAAAATATCGGGAATTTCGGTAAATTCTCAGACTGATCATCACATAAAGAAGCTGAAATATGATTAATAGACCATTTACTCCATTTTTTTCCACTGGCCCATCGGGCTTGTTTATTTACCAGTTTCATTGGCCCCACGGAAAATTTACTGGCCTCGGATACCGGGCTTGTGGTTAGTTTCGCAGACTGATATATGCTCATGGCCCTACATATGCAAGAATATATGCTCATGGCCCTACATATGCAAGAATATATGCTTCGGCCTTACGCACACCTAACATCTACATGGCTGTTTATATCCATATTTATAATGTT